GGTTATTCTCGCAAGCTGACTGATCCGGGATGCCTCTTGAAAAGTCGCCTCTGAAGGATCTGATAGCCAGTGGAGACACTGCAGACCTGAGTTGGCATAGCAGTGGTTGCGAGTATTGGCTAGCAGGAGAAAGCCTTCCAGTCTAAACACGGGGTGAGGAATTCCTGGCGTTGAATCTGAAGGCTTCTTTGTGACTGTCTTCGCCGATGCCGTGGACTTTGCTCGAGTATATTCGCGGGGCTGCTTGCTGAGCTGCTGGCGCGCTACCTCCTGCAGTACGTGCACCTGCAGTAATGGAACGCACTGCTGAGCATGTCTACCCGGGGCATCCACACGAAGTTTGCAGTATCGACAGCTATCTCCTTTGTGGAAGAAGACCTTGAATTGATTGAGTCTTGGTTGGAGAGTTTTCTCCAGCTTGGCCATCACCTCAGGATGCTGCTTGTTTAAATGCTGTTTGGCTCCTTTCTGGCCTACGAGGACCTGACCACAGAGTGCGCAGTGTTCCATCAGGTAATCATGGAACGCCGGATTTCGAGCGGCGCCTTCTGGATTGTCCTGGGCATCAGACTGTAGACTTTCTACGAGTGAGATCCGGTTCTGTGCTTCTAAGGGTAGCTCTTCCTGCTGTCTAAGCAAAAGCTCTACCCTAGGGCAGGTAGATGCTTCGACATGTTTGCGCAGATAAAACACTGTTCGGAATGTTGCTCGACAGGCGATGCAAGTTGCTGACCCTGGCATTGAATGCAAAATAGGATCAAATTTGGGTCCTTTCAGGCACTGCTGAGAATCTGGGTGAGCCTTCTGCAGGTGGCGACGGAGTGCTCCGGTGCCAGAGAGACATGCTCCACATTCACCGCAGGTCAGAAGCCTATCCTCCACATGGTGCGAGGAAAAGTCCGTGGAGAGGCCTTCCAATGCCTGGCTAACTGCCTCAGCACGCAACTTGTAGTGTGGGAGAAGCTGGGGATCGGAGTGTTGCTGTCTCTTTATAAACTGGGTCATTCTCTTTTGCAGCTGCTCCTTCACGTGAGGAATCCGTAATCTCCGGAGTAACTCCTGGTTTGATTCCTTCGTTTCCTGGGAGTAACTCCGCAGGACGAATCTGAGTTGGTACATCATGTGTGAATGGAGCTTTTGCAATCCCTGCTGTGTCATCCCCACCACGTGACGTGCATACAGAGCAGAGGCCCACGCAGTTATTGTCCAAATCGACAGACGACGTCTGTCTGATAAGACTCGGTGGTTCCGAACTGCATGGGCTACTTCTGACATTGCAAGCTTACTGGATGACAGCCGATGTTTGAGAGTCTTCATTTCATAGTCGTGATAAGAAAGAATGACCCCTAAGTATGGAACCTGATAGCGCAGCGATATCAGCCTGCCCGAGGGGAGTTCAACATACTTCTCTCCCTCGACCTGGCGAAAGAGTTTCTTCCTAATGGTCGAGGCTGAGCCCCCTTGCAGCTGTAGCAGAATTGCTGACTTGGACGGATTGACCTTGAAACCAAGCTCTACCAGCTGATCCAGAAGCAGGTCGCAGTACCCTAGTGCTGTCATGAGGCCGGCCTCAGAGTCGAAATGCGACTGGATCAAGCTATCGTCAGCGTACATTGTGAGGAGCTTCACTAGTTCTGCTGGGCTGATTTCCCCAGAGAGCTTCCTAAAGAGAAGCCATGATGCAAAGGCGAATAAAGAGGGTGCTAGCTTACATCCCTGCTTGATTCCCCTGCGTGTGGCTATCTCAAAGCTCTGATCGCTGGCTGTCATCTTGTACAAGGCTTTGATGTGGAGATGGCCTACCACCTCTATCAGAACAGGATCTGCTTGTTCGGCTTCCAGGGCCTCTCTTAATCGCAGCCTGTTTACAGTGTCAAAAGCTTTGCTCATGTCCACGCTCATGGTGAGACTGCCTCTGAGCTTGAGCCCCTGTTGTCCCTTACCTGCAGCCCTAGTGGTGAGGGCATGTCCGAACCTGGCCTGGTCCACATGTGTGAAGGCCTTGCAGATAGCCTCCTCTGTGCCCCTGCCTGGGACAAAGCCGAACTGAGAGACGCCGGTCATTGCTAGCTGGAGGGCAGACTTGAGTCTCTTCCTCACGAGTCCGGCTAGGACCTTACCCTCAGGTGCTATCACCCCGATCGGACGGAGTGAGGTTGGTTTGTCTGGCTTCTTGGGAGGCTTTGGGAGCCAGGAGATCTGTGACGAGGTGACACTGTCCGAGAGCCTTCCTGCAGTGACTTCCCTATTAAGGGTGTCCGAGATTAGCCGGATTGCTTGGGGACCTAGGGAGCGCCAGGCTACTACGGGAGGACTCTCTTTAGGAACCGCCTTGCCCAGCTTTATTGTGCCAAGCTGTTCTTGCACTTCTTGCTCAGTGATGCGCAGGCTGCCTTGTATCCCTGAAAGCGGGAAGTCATCCCCTGCTCCAAACAGGTCTAGGGAATATTCCTCTAATTGTCTTCTTTCTTCCTTGGCAGTAAGGAAGCGACCCTCAGAATCACGAAGCTGAACTCTTTCCTGGGGCCTCCCCGACCTGAAGCGCTTGATTACCTTGTAAAGGGAATGACTCCCGTCGTGCTTGGACTTAAGCTCTGCCTGCTGGAGTTGTTCATCTATTTCCTGCCGCCGCCGCTCCTGCTTGTGACGCTTTGCTACCCTCGCCTGTGCACTTTGCTGGGAAAACGTGCACCAGCATCGGAACACCATACGGACCTGCAGCTCGGGCAAGAACTCTGCTAAGACCTTGACTGCTAGTGGGAGTGAGCGCAACGCAGAGCGCTCTTCCCAGATGCTGAGATCTGATCTTTGTGCTGCTTCCTTTCTCTTGGGAAAGTGAGTCGCGAGGGCTGAGTTCATTGCTTGATGGAGACTCTGCCAGGTTGGGGGATGATCCTGAAGGAGGGAGTCTACCTCCCTGGCAAATGCCTGTATTTTCGGGGAACGGTGTCTGTAGCAGTCCTCCATTGCCTGCTGGTCATAGGGTTTTGAGGCTTGGGCGGAGTATCTCCTGCTGTGCCTCAGTTTACCAAGAAGGGGGAACTGCCTACTACCATCCCTCCAGGATGCAACTGGGAAGGTCCTTAGTGGCCGGCAAAACCTGGCGGGGCCTTGGGACTGTGCAATCCTGACAAACGAGAAGTCAATCTGTGAAACAGAATTGCCTTGTTCGTGGGTGGCTGGTCTACGCACTCCCCAAGTGTTGGTTGCGACTAGCTGGTGCTCCGACAGTAGGGTCTGGAGATCCTTAGATCCGCGATGCCCGAGTCTGCAAGCCTGGATCGTGCATGGCCCTACGTGTTTGTTGTCGGTTTTGAGCGAGGAGTTAAAATCTCCTAGCACAAGGAGAGTGTTGCGATTGGGAACAGCTCGGATGGACTTACTTAGGGCATGAAGGGTCTGCTTCCGGGTTTCCTTATTCTGAGCGACAGTCTCCTTAGAGCGCCAAACGTATTGATAGCAGCTGAAGACGTCCAGTGAGATGCCGTTGCTCGGCACCCGGACCTGGAGAACTCTTCCTGGAACAACCTCGTTGTAGCGAAGATCCTGTGACTTGCACAGCGTGGAGTGCACCATTATGAGGACCCCGGCTCCCTTCTCCCCTGTGGAACCAGAGCTGATCACGTGCCAGCCTGACTTGCTGAATTGCCAAGAGCCCCTCCAGTGTGTTTCCTGAATTGCTACCAGCTTCACATCCTGAAATGCGGCACTTTGCAGTACGGAGAGTAACTCTTCCCAAACTGCTGTTGTAAGAGATCCTGCGTTCCAGGATAGATAGCTGAGATTCTTATCTTCTGTAAATTTCGAAGGCCGAGTCCTTTTGCCGGGATTGGTGGGCTTTACATGTGCCGGAGCAACTCCAAGCTCTGTTGACGACATCGTCCTTCCCTTGTAGACCGCACTACCTTCAAGCAGAGCTTTACGTGCTGCCCTTTGATAAGAGCGTTTACCCTTCCCTTTAGGAACGGGCTGATGCTTGGTCGAACCACTAGGCTGTTTCGCAGCACTCATGTTGAGTACGGCTCATGTCGGCTTCGCAATACCGACAACCCTCACCTCTGGGAGATGTTAGAGAGCTGTAAATCTAATACTCCCTCCCGGACTTGGGACCGGGACTGCTCAGGCGCTGACAAATGCCATGGCAAGAAAGGAAAAGGCAACTGTACTAGCCTGACCTTTCCTGAGCCGAGAGGCTTACAACAACAACAACAACAACAACAACAACAACAACAACAACAACAACAACAACAACAACAACAACAACAACAACAACAACAACAACAACAACAACAACAACAACAACAACAACAACAACAACAACAACAACAACAACAACAACAACAACAACAACAACAACAACAACAACAACAACAACAACAACAACAACAACAACAACAACAACAACAACAACAACAACAACAACAACAACAACAAAACAACAACAACAACAACAACAACAACAACAACAACAACAACAACAACAACAACAACAACAACAACAACAACAACAACAACAACAACAACAACAACAACAACAACAACAACAACAACAACAACAACAACACAACAACAAACAACAACAACAACAACAACAACAACAACAACAACAACAACAACAACAACAACAACAACAACAACAACAACAACAACAACAACAACAACAACAACAACAACAACAACAACAACAACAACAACAACAACAACAACAACAACAACAACAACAACAACAACAACAACAACAACAACAACAACAACAACAACAACAACAACAACAACAACAACAACAACAACAACAACAACAACAACAACAACAAACAACAACAACAACAACAACAACAACAACAACAACAACAACAACAACAACAACAACAACAACAACAACAACAACAACAACAACAACAACAACAACAACAACAACAACAACAACAACAACCACCACAACCTGCCAGAATTTGACTCTGCGAGGCATGCGTGTAGAATTATCCTCGCGGCGAGCATGCCTCCTCACTGCATCCACGGCAACCTCCGCGGCACTGGCCTGTCAGGAATCGCGGAGAAGAGACAGAAGTGTTGGCTAAAAGATACCATCGGTGCCGATCTGCCTTGCCATCCAAGGCCTCGGTGACCGAACTGCGGGATTTCGATGGTGTCTGTGTGCTTTGACCCGTCCTATCACGAGGTCTTAGCCGGTTTCTTGTCGAGCAAGATCGCCTTGTAGCTGGCCTGGCACACTGCTCGGCTGCTCGCAGCCGGACCTGGCCCTGTCACCTCCTTCGGGCAGGGAGCTGAGCCTTGATCTCTTGCAAGATCGGGCCAAAAAACTGATCGGTGCCTGGACAACACATCGAGGCCACAAACACCGAGCTCGTTCTGCGCGGACCGAAGCTGAAGTCCGCACGAATGATTTCCTCGAAGATGCCGGCCTCTCCTGCACCGTGCTGTCTGAATCGCAGTTGCCTTCATGGAGCTTGCGCACTGCAGACTGGAGACAAGTCGAGAGAGCAGTCCTGCCGCGACAGGCGCTCTGGAGGCAACAGCTCCTGCCAACTGTTCAACCAAGTCAGGCATCTAAATGCACACGAAACGACAAGCCAGTCAGCTACTGAGTCGGACTGGAGTTGACAACACTGGCCGTGGGAAGCCTCCGCCAGCATCCGCCTGAGACGGCGTGCAATTCAAGGATGCGGGCGGACCACGCTTTGAACTCCTCCTGCCTGCACTTTGTCGCACCGCCCAAGGGCACCTCCAGGCGCAAGGCAAACAGTATCTCAAGCTCCAAGCCGAAGCTCAGCTCGCAACAAGCTGGGCCTGCAGAGCTTGATCTCGGAAGGGGGGTCCCTCTCGGCATGCTCTCGTTGTGAGCTTGAGCAGCGGCCGCGCAGTGTGCAACCCCGCGGCCGCGGCCAACCAGGCTTCCTGCGGCATTTCAATCTTCAAAAACCACCCTGTTCACTGGTCCACCGTGCCCTGGTCTGCCTATGCTTCGGCCGCCAGGGCTCTGTCTCGAGTCCCGTATCTCAGGGCCGGCTCCAGTTCGCAGGGCAGACATAGCCGCAGCGAAGCCCTGGCAGTTTAGTTTTCAGGGTCCCCAGGCGATCCTAAACCGACGCACCTCCGAGGAAAGCCGAGAGGACTTTGTAGGAACTGCAGTCTGCGGTCGCCTCTCTGGCTTTTTGTCGCGCTTCGGTTGCGCAATCCTTGAACCCCTGGCCTGGCTCCAGCGCGGGGCTCCGACGCGATTCCGGCGAGTCCGGATGGTGTGTCGGACACTGCTTCTGCTTCGGCAGCCTGCGAAGGATGCAGCGACACAAGAGCGAGCAAAGCAGATATGCCCCCAACCTTTGTGCCACGACGTATGATGCACGCCACCCCGGCCGCTGAGCTGGGTCGTGGCACTGGCCGATGAAGTGTCAGAGTCGTCCCGAACCGCAGCGACCTTGGAAGACACAGGCACAGCCCGCAACGAAGCCGGGCTTGAGGCTCCGACGCTGCTTGCAAGTGGGACGTTCGCATGCTTTTCAGGGAAGACATGCCTCGGAGGCTACGTGCCCTCTAGCTCTAGGGCTCGAGAGCGGCTGCCAATGTGCATGCCAGGAGCTTCCCTTGCTGCCAAGCCCACGAGCGTGGAGGACTGGCTGCCCCGACGGTGCCATGGCATTTCCCGTTCTTTTGCAAATCCTTTACAACGCAGGTCATATTATCATACATTCGGTGCTTTGCGCGGCCTATATTGACTGGCACATGTTCACTGAATTCACTGAATGATCAAAGTCGGCAAACAGACGGGCACTGCACTTGCAGAGACCATAGATTCATACTTTACATCAACAAGTACCAGCCTGCTGGACGACCCTTTTTGCACACAGCTCACACAGCTCCCCGCTGTAAGCCTCCACCCCTGGAATCAAAGGATTCCGCCCAGGACAGATAGCTGACGCCTGAGTCCTAAGTGACCTGCCACGATGCGGTCATTGGCTCCGCCAGATTGCGCCACCCACCTAAAAAACCTGATCGAAAAGTCCTAGCCACAGCTGCGGCGCATACACGAGAGAATGCACCATCCATTATCCTGCCCCAAAGCCAAACGAAGCTGGCAAGGCTGAGTTTGTGAACTTCAACTATCGTGTGCCCTCACGTCAAGCGGGCAATCTTGGAGCTTGGATTGGCCCCGCTCGCCTCAACTCAAGCAGCACAGCTAAGACCGACAACAGACGCTTGACACGGGGCCTCGTGGCAACATGAAACGCATCATGCTCAAACGATCTGCCGGGGAGCCATTGGAGTCGCGGGCTGGCGGCCCCCCGCGACCTTCATAGACTCGAAAGAGTTAGCAGTTAGCAGGCTCTTCAGCAACACATCAAGCTGAGACGGAGGCCGTTCCTGGTCGCTTCCGTGCGAAGGGATTGCTGGGTGCGCTGGGTGCGCTCGGTGCGCTGGGTGCTGCGGAACGGTGGGATGTTGGCATGGCGGCCGAAGCGCGAAGCTCCTCCGAGGTCAAGCTACCAGCTACCAGTTGAAGTTCTACTGGAGCATGTGCTCGTCAGCTGATGTCTTCTGATCATCGCCTCGGCCTGGGCATCTGTCTGCAGCCTTTCCGGACTTCGGCTGCCTGTAGGCATTGGGTCCGACCTTGCCACCGCCGCAGCCCGACATCACAGCAGTGTTCAAGGGCAACTGGCCTCTCGGCAGTCTCGGCCCTTTGTTGGCCTTCTGCACATTGTAAGGTGCGGAATGTACACCAACAAAATCCGAGCAAATCCTGCTGATTCGTGCTGCATGGTGTCAGCCTGCGTCTTCGAACTCGCCTGGCTTGAAAAGCGGCGGAAGCTCAACCCGCGGCACTGACCTTGCAGGTAACCAAGCTTGACACTTCGCGTCTGAGAGATTTTGCCCATTTCAAGCATCAACGTGCCAGATCACACGACCCGCCAAGGACAGCGCGCTGCAGGTCGTAGCAAAGCCGCGATCTCATCCGCAAGCTTGTGTTGCTTGGCCTTCTCGGCGAGAGTGCGGGCCATCTCCAGGACCTCGAAGCTTGACACAACTTTGCGATCCTTGCCGGCCATGGCAAGCTGACGCTGTGCAGGGCCTTCGCCGTGCCTTCCATCTTCGCGAGGTACATCCTCAAGGCAGAGACCACCGAAAGACATGTAGTAGGGTCGTGAAAAGAAAGCAGGTGCCCAGCCCCGCGACATGATGAGCTCCTCAACAGAAACTTCTTAATTTTGCACTTGACGTCAGTCGCACAGGCTTTGCATCCCAGTTGCCTACAGTAGGGCCTGAGTGCCTCGCGCTCCACTTCGTCAGATTTGGCGAGCTGCGTGAAGAGCTTCAGCACCCCACTCTTGCTTCTCTTCGCCAAGGCTTCGGCCTGCGCAGTGAAACCCGCGGTGACACGCACTTTCTGCGTGCACGTGCTGAAGGCGTCGTCTCTCACTGAGCCTCCTGTCGCTGCTGCTCGCTAAGCATGTCCATCTTAAGCATGTCCTTCGACTACGAACGCAGGGCATCTTCGACGGCAACCGACGACACTTTCGGCCGCCCTTCGGTCCTGGAAGTGCCTGAGAAGCAGCTGCTCACGGAATGTGGCCTCGATTTGCTCGCCGGCGGCAGGGAAGGATCCCATGGTCATCCGCCAAGGCAGTCGGCGCGGAGAGACGGTTCCTCCCACGCTGACTCGCCTCTCAGCCCTCCGTTCTCTGAAACCCCGTCCTCCCACGCCGAAGAAGGGCATCAGACAGGACTTTTCGTCTTCACCATCAGCCTGCGGTCATGCTCAAACGGTCAAGGTCCCCCCCCCCCCCTGCAGGCTGCATCCTTGCCTGTTGGGGTCTTGGCCAAGGCTCCCTGTTCTCCAGGAGCTCCACTACACAAAGGCTGCAAGCTGGTGCATCGACCACCCACAACGGCACCTCCACACGTATGAGACTATCACACTCTTTACCTTGCTGCATCTCTAAAGAAATCTCTGCTCTGGAATGCTCTGGACGGGGAGGAGGATCGGCAGGAGGAAGAGGAGGAGGCGGAGGAGGACCCTGAATATGCGAGGAGGAGGAGGAGGCAGATGACGGCGATGATGATGATGATGATGATGATGATGACGAGGACGATGATGATGATGATGATGATGATGATGACTATGATGATGATGACTATGATGACGATGATGATGATGATGATGATGATAAAATGATGAAATTATGATGATGATTATGATGATGATGGTGGTCGTCATCGTCACCACTACCATCATCGTCACCATCACCACCAGCATCGTCATCATCATCAGCATGATCGTGATCATGACGCTTCTGGCGATCCCCATAGTGACAGAAAGGAGAGTCGGGATTGTTGCCACCGCTTTGACTGGCTACGGCTAAGGCATGTCACGTGAGCGGGGGCAACGGCACATCCACCCTACTCTCATGTACCTGTACCAGCAGCTTGGGTGCTCGACTGCATGATCATTTTTATGTAAAGGATGCCCAGCATGAAGTTGCCCACGGGGAAACGGCTGCCCTGCCTCGTCTGCCAAGGACAGGACCGGTGTCCACTCCGCATTCAGTCCGTTTCCACCCCAGGAGCCAGCACCGATCCCGAGAAGCGCGCGCAGCACCCCAGAAGTGTCTGGCAGGCAAAAATGCCGGCATGACACGATGCCACAAGTGCAGCGTATGATCAAGCCACAGGCCAGCAGCACCAAGCGTCAAAGGGACGAAATCCGTGGAGATTCCGATCCAGCGCAGGCGAGCCCCCTCACTGAGGGGTAACAGTCCACCTGCCCTCTCGATCCTTCCGGAGTGGGCCACTGGTGACTGGCTCGAATGCTTTGCCAACACAGCCGAGAGAGCCTTGCTCTCACGTCAAGCAATCGGAAATCCAATTCATCGTCCTGGTGGAGGTTTGCACTCATGACTGCCAGCCTTAAGGCACCTGAAAACTCTCGCGAAACCCATCCCAATTCATCCCGAGTCCTCGTCTGTCGTGCCAGGTGGTCGTGTGACCGCCAGCAGCATCCTGCCTCGCGCTGCGAGGGCGACGCCAGGGCCTGGCCTGGAACGGCAAATCGGCCCCACCCCTAGCACTTAGTCTGTAACTGCTGGAAGTCTGCAACAGAGGCCTTTGTGTGGTGAGCGTGAGACGTGCAACGACCCCTCCTGAACTCGCTATGCTTTGGACCTTATGCTCCACTGAAAACCGCTTCTTCAACGATCAAAGGCATGGCAAACCCACACGAACGACTGCACGAACGATTTCTGTCGCAGGTCCCGAATCTGCAAACTTCGGTGACTCGAAGCTGAGACTGCCGCAAGCTGCGCATGCCCAATGGAAGACCACTAAAGCTGAACCTCATTGCGACACTCACGGGCTCACTCCCCACCCACTCCCAGTCTTTACAAGCCGTTAGACAGGAACCCTGTGGATAATGCACGAGAATTTCCCAACTCAGAGACATCATACATCATGGCAAATCAAACAAACTCCGCCATGACCAGCATTTCAACATTTCAGTTACTTCCTTTGCAACAGATCAAGAGACCTCGGCATAACATTACTTTCAATGATGCAGGAACTTCCTTGGCGGCCTTGGCGCAGCAGTGCAGGTCGTGTCCATGAACGAGCAGCATAACTCTAGCACAGAGTTCTGGGGACGATGGCAAGCCATTCTGTCAGCTGCTGTCTCTGACTCTCTCCACTCGGGCTTTCGGGCACTTTTGTTTCTTGTTGCTTCTTTGTGGCGTCAGCCCATGGATAGCGGCTGTTGCAAGCCAGACTACATTCATGTCCGGCGAGCGCTCTCAAGGGACGCAGCAGAATCTGTCTTGGAGCTGCCGGATGTTTTTCCTTCCGGCAACCAGAACATGAGCCATAGCAAGTGGCCCTTGCTGCACTGACCACGGCTGCTCGTGACGATTGACGATCCACGACTACCGCTCACGCCCTGTCGGCTTCCAAGCCATCAACACACCGAAAGCACTGCGCACGACCAGATGCCCAGTCCCCATTCTTGTCGCGATTGCGGGCTGCTGGGCTTCCCTTGGCCATGTGGTGGAATCCCATGCTTGTTCTCAAACCTAACCAGTCTTGTCTTATCTTACCCGACCAGTCCCTCATCGCTAGGATTTGTCGTAGAGCTCCGCTGTACATGACAGCTTAGAAACGAGTCTGTGCATTGAACTCTCCTTCCCACAAGCAGCTGAAACCTGTTCCCCAGATCTATCTGCAGTAAGACATTCAGCCGTCGAGCAACTAGGCGCCGTGCAGGCGGAGCAATCGTGATGAGGTCATGACCTGGTGTTCGTTGTCGCTACCATCGCTTCTCACCACAGGTTTTGAAGACCCCCACCGCCACGAAATCCTCGCCGCAGGCAAGGGCGTCGGGGTTCTCGTCAGAGATCGGTGCGGAGAAGAGCGCCTACTGTCACAAACCATACTAGTAGCTCGTAGCATCTCGTAGCTCTGAAACCGGGAAGCCCAAAGAGCCCAAAGGGCGAGCCGAAGGCCTTCTCCCAGCGATGCGTAGGGCGTATCAACACGCGAGACCTCTGAAGAAATGGCACACGCTCGGCCGTGACCAGATTTTTCCGAAGTCTGGAACGCGTGGCCCGGACCCCCTCGCTGCAGTGCTTCGGGCAGCTAGGCACAAGGCACCTGGCACAGAAATGCATTAAGAATAAGAAGCTCTGTGTGGCATTCCTGAGCAACTCTGATGCACCTTCCGACATTGCGGCCAGCTGCACCCCATCGTAGTCTTGAAGTCCCTGGCGCTGAGCTGCCCTACATCTTGTAGTGCACAGCAGCGGTTCAGACTTGCCGGCTGCTCCACCGGCTTCTCATCCCCCGACCGGCACACCTTCGCCATGACATGGCATCCCATCAGATCACAGAATGCAACTCCCCGGCCTCGATGCGGAGAAGCTCCGGATAGCTTGCTACATGACCGAAGCCCTGCAGATCGGTCTATCTCCCAACTCCCATCATCTCCCACTCTTGAAGGCAAGAACGTTCTTCGAAGTCTGAGTATTCCACGTTCCACGCCAGGAAGCGTGGATGGCTGGGCACGCGAGCTGTCCCCTAGCGAATATCTGAAAATGACAAGCAATCAGCCCAGTGAGCCGCTGGCCCGGATGCATCACTTCGTTGAAGAGCACCTCCAGCTGCTGCCATGCACCATCTAAGGTTGCCTGCCATGCGGGGCCGTGAAAACTCGTACGAGTTCCTTGAAAACCGGTTTGGGCGGGCCTTGAGCTGCTCTTCCTCGGTCGCTGCTTCCCTGACATCGTCCTGAACTGGAATACTGGATTAGAGATCAGACGAGTCTGCATGGTTAAGTCCTGGCCTTGACGTCATCGGTTACGTCGGGTTCTCCTGCCTTGAACGCAAGTTGCCTGCATGCCCATCTCACGGTGCGCGCTGCGGCCTTCTCGGCAGAGTCAAGGCTGTCCACAGCCATGGGCCTGCCAAAACGCAACGTCCACCATCGATCCGTGTCTCAGGGACTCATGCCGACTCGTGCCTCCAATTCAGCAGCTGTCCAGGCCCCGCCCAGATGCTGAAGTTTTCATTAACGGCTAGCCGCGGCCATTATGCACACATTCGCCGCTTCGCCACTTCACTTCGGCAATGCAGACAGATCAGAACAGATGCATTTTGTGCCGCATTCGCTTTTGTCACGCGGCAAGCCCGAGAAAAATCCTTCAGCTGAAAGCCCCCGACTCCGTTGCACTCGTGGAGCGGTGGACAAAACCGTCACGGCGTCACTATGACTGAACTGCGAGATCCGAACTGGAATTGACGGACGGTGCCCGCAACACGAAGTCCACGCTGAGCCCCCGTTGCGCTTCCCCGTGGCAGCATGGAGATCCGTTGCATCTTTCTGCATGCCTGCCTCCCTGCATCAACGGCTTTTGATTCAAGTCAGTGCGCCTGTTGCTGTTCCTTCCAAGAACCACGAACACACCTCCACCTGATAGGATAGGGTGACAACCAATGTCGCCATTTGAGCCAAAACTTGCATCATGGCTTCTTGTCATACTGCAGTGAGGAAGAAGCGTAGAGACTCCCACTTTGCATTAGCTGCAACTGCTCCCATTGACGTGTCCTGGACCAGCGGGGCTTTCGACAACTCCCCTCCTTTTTAAGAACCGGTTCTTTCCGCGTACAAACACTTCAGGTCTGCGCGGGTCCAGCCAAAACCGCACACCTTCATGTCTACCTTCCGAGCCTGCAGCAAGCAAAGCTCACGGAAAGGCTGTTGCTCACAAGACGGCGCGAGTTGCCGAATGTCTAAGCATCTGGCCATATGTGTACAGATGGGAGATACCTCGCTTTGCGGGCACAGATCAGCAGGTCAGGCAATAGGCTGAGGAGGATGAGGCCAGCACCAGGATGTCCATCTCTTTAGGAGCGGAAGCCCTGAAGCAAGACATGCATGCTACGGAGGCTCAAGAAAAGGCAATGCTGCTTGCGCGCTCCGTCCGAGACATGGCAGCGGAGCCTATTCTACTCCTTCTTCCGCACGTGCTTGAAAGGTTGAGTTCACTCAAAACATGTATGGATGTTCAAGCGGCAGAGGATAAACTTCAGATTGGTGACGATACGTACTCCACAAACTGGTTGCTGTTGCCCTGTAACATTTCCTGGCCTTGCCCTTGCCGGCACGGTTCCTCCGCATGCCGCCAGGGCGTGGAGGTCGGCGGGCATCACCAAAGGTCTCCCTTGGCGGAGGTTGCTCGCTGTGCCCGCCATTGTCGCTATCGAATCGCAGCCTTGCTTGATTGCACTGGCCTGTCCATGCTGCGCATCTTGGCCACATCAGCCTGTGCCCAAGATTGCATTCATCATGCTGGGAATGGTCCAAGCTATTCACGACCCTTGCACTATAGGTGCAGGTGCTAAGCGGCCATCGGGATTTCATTTTTCGGCCACAGCCATACTCCAGAAGCACGAAAGAGAGTAGCGAGCAGCAGACAACACGTTAAATGGCACCTCTCTTTTTTTCAATACCTTTCCTTAGCCTGGACAGCAGCTTTGCATTTAGTTGCACATAGCTGTACCTGTACCGTACGTGGTACTTGTACATGAGCTACTGGCAAACCACTCACTTCACGGCCAGCAGAATCTCTTTGTCCTGCAGACATGCATCACTCTTCAGCAATCTTGCAGCACAAGTGCAATTCACAGGATAAGGTTTCAACGGAGTTCCTTCTGCAGCTCCTCTGATGCGTGCCACAGCCTTTCTCTATCTTGGAATGCGTGCACTAAAACCTGGAATACAGAGCGACTGAGGGTCGCGGCGCAACGTGGCCGCCTTCAGCAACCGCCTCCATTACCACCTGACTATTTGCTGAACGTCAGGCGAGGTGGGCAATGACGCTGCTTGCTATATGCCTCCTTATCGCTCTTGAGGCAGTCATGAGCAAACACCAGGGCCTCCATTCGAGCTCGTGAAGGCACTCACTATCGAGTAGAAAAGCTGCTAATCTTTGTGCCCCTCCTTGCCATTTTGCCGCACGGCTGCCAGAACCACCTGCTGCCAAGCCCAAATGCTGATGACTAGATGCGACCTTGCTGTCAGCTTGTATAATCCCTCCGCTATCCTTTGGGATAGCATGAAGTCCACCTCTCTGTCTTTGCGAAGCTCTTCTGGCGCAAAAACGAGGACCTGTACAGACGCTTGATCGGGAAAACGAAACACACCGAGCGTCTGCAACAGCGACATGCTCTTGATCACGGTCCTTGCCATTCTGTTTCACTGCCGCCAAGACAATCTCCTGACAGCCATCGGATCGGGACCGCAAAATCCACGAGCAGCCAAGTTCTTTCAATGCTCGGACCCTTGCCCGATCCGCTCTCATGCGCTGCGAAGCTGATCGAAGTGCGTAGCCATCGACCTTCCCGCAAACCCTCGCTGCACGGTACATTCTAGCACTGACGAGCGGGACCGAGGCGTTCGACATGCAAGCATGGGTTTCCGAGATGCAAAGCTCGTGCCCGAGATGCATCATGGCACCAAGCAGTTTGCATCTCGAAAACCGACTTGTTCCAGTTGAACCAATACGTTTTGCATCTCGGAAACGACCTGCGCCTTTTGCGCCAGGATTTTACTATTTTACTGTTTCAGAACTGTACTCTTCTACTATTTACTATTCTGCGGTTAACGACTCTACTATTTACAATTATACTATTCTACCACGACCCCAGCCGGTTTGCGTCTCGGAAACCGACCTGCGCCGGTTGAGCCAGGATTTAGTATTTTACTATCTCAGTACTGTACTCTTCTACAACCCATTATTTACTACTTTACTTTACTATTTACCATTATAGCACCATAAAGTTTACATCTCGGAGACCGAGCTTTGCATGCTGAACCCCAAATTTGCACGTTGAGACGAGGGATCCCCTGACGAGCCTCGGCTCCTTACACTTATCCGAGCAAGACCGGAACACACTTGTCTTGCCCTTACTTCTCGGCTTGCGGTTTCGAATTCAGCAGGCTGCATAGTCCTTTTGACTGAACTCTCTCATCGCCTAGCGTTGTTTGAGATATCTGTCTGTCCCTTCACGGCATGGTTACTGACTCCTGCGGCGATCGCAGTCAGCTATTTCCTAGTGCATTTCCACTGCTTAGCATCCATCACCCTACTGGGCCCAGATCACGAGATGTTCACCCTGAATTCTGTTGAGGATGAGAAGTGCTTCCAAGCCCGACCGCCTCGCCGCCCGTCAAACACTTTGTTATACGAACTTCTGCCAACGAGTAGCTGCTGTACTTCAGTCGTGCTTACGGCAATTCTGCGGTCCCCTTTCCAGTCTTCCCTCTGAACATCCACTGGTCTGACCGGCTCCTTCCCTGCCTTCACTGCATTCAGCAAGGCGTAGCGCTCAGAAGCCAGCGCCGCCTCCCTGACGTCGGGATCGCCCTTCAGATCCTCAGGTCAACTCGCATGCACAATCAATGCATCACGATGCGAACAGATCATCGAGAATCACCGAGATGAAGCAAGTGGTCCAATCCCTAGGCTCACAGGCCTGCAAGGCGGCTTGAAGTTGCAAAGTGAAAACAAGGGGAAAAAACTAACAAGTCGACACGTCGGACATGCTTTCTCGAGGCAAAAGCTGTCGATGCCGGGGACCAAAGACAAAACTAAATGATGCGCTTTACCCCTGCAAGCAAAGACAGACCTGCTTCCAAAACCGACCAACCAAAGACCAGAGCCAGCTGCAACTTCCACAATCGCTGCTGCTCATTGTTCATTGATTGTGCATTATCGCATATTGTGCTGTGCTGATAGGTTACATAATCCTTGGGTCTACCCTCGTGGAGGTGGTATCTTGACCTAGGTGCCCGACCTCGGCCACGTTTTGGAAGGCCTGCCGGAGCAAACATGCCGCCATTCTGCAGAGCGGGTGCACTGGATAGCAGGCCGCAAGCCTTGACGTTGCTCTCCACCGCACGCAGCGCAACCATTTTGTTGGCGCGTACCTTCAGCACACCAAGATTTCCCAAGATTCGCCGAATCCTTCAGCCGCTCGCATTGCGAGCCTCGTCTGGCAGCAAACCCAGCGTGATGCCATCCTCTGCAACGGCCTGTGGTCTATGGGAGCTCGGTGAGTGCACTACCAGGCATGTTCGAGACCTCACGACTGAGCCTGCAATGCAATGGCTGTCTCTCGCTGCATCCTTGGCATGCTCGTGTGCCCGAAGACAGCTGCAATAATTGAAAGTTCATGTAGGATCCTCACGAATCTGATGCATAGGACACAGCATGTCCATCCTCACATCAGACAACGCATCAGCTGCAGCATTCGAGACAAATGACGGAAAGGCCGGCATGGGCACATCGTCTCCTGCTTGACGGCTGCTGTGACCACGTCCTTCGATTCGGACCAAAGCTTCGACGACATGCGGCGGCCAGAGAGTCACGGAGTCACGGCCGCAGGGCGCCTTCTGCGCGCGCTGCGGCTCGCTCAGGTAGACCAGCGCATGGCCATCTGCTCTCAGAGCCTGCCGGGGGGACCCCAAAAGAGGCAAAAGGCCGCCCATGATATGCCACGCCACATGCAGGCCTCTTTGACAACATCGGGATCTCGTAGGAGCTCCTCGCTGATCATGGCCAATGCATGCCTCCGAACGGCAGGCGGAAGTTGATGAAGTTAAGTGCCTTTCGGAGTTGGCCTGTTTGTGGCAACTGCAGCAAGCACGATCTCCTTGTCCTTCCTGCGCTGCAACGACAGCAGGCATGCATCTGCTACAGTCTACGAAAACTAGTTGTCAACGTCCCTAACCCAGAGTCCCTCGAGCCTCAGTTCAGTTGAAGCATAGCCCAGAGCTTGCCAGTTGCTCTGGACAGCTTCAAAAACCACAGCCTGGAAATCCAGCGGAAGAACGGACGACACACCTGGCAAGATGCGAGGCACTGCTTGGCGACCTTGTCGTTCCGATACTTGTCGTGTGCAAAGAGCAAGGCATAGCCAGTGCTCCCAACGGCCTGCGGGGGCGACGGGGACGTCTCAACTTGTCAACAAACGGCCTTCAAGCGGCGACAAGGCCTGGGTCACGACTTCACGGTCAGCTCTCAGATCCATGGATGCGTAACTCAGCGTATACCCATCCTGCGCAGGATTTGAGGAGCATGGTCGCGCCTCAGACCGCTTTCGATCGAGTTTTCATCGGCCTGCTGGACGGCCTCCAGAACAACGTCCTTGTCGGCCTGAGGATTCGGAGCGTGACACTCTTGAGCCGACATACAGTGCCTGTAGCCAAGCAGACCATTGCATGGCAAGTTGCCCTGAGAGCAGGGTCTGCAAAGACCATGGCATGGCCATCCTGCGCTCCCACACAAAGCTGCCTGTGTTCTGTAATGGGCTCTGCCTTTGTGATGTCCAGTCTCAGAACATCGCAAGACTTTGCATCTGCTCCTCTCAAAGGCCCTACTTGCATTGTCCTGTCGAACCGCTTCCACGACAACATCCTTCCGTGCCTGGCAAGATGCCCGACAGATCAGCATGGGCAAGCCAAGAACCGAAATTGCTTGTTATATACACTTGCGCAAGCTCCTTCATGGCAGGCGATGCGAAGACCAAGGCATGGCCATCCTGACAATGAAAAACGGCCCCAGCCCGTTCTTGACTTTTGGACGCACCGAAGGTACACATATGGTCAAGAATGTCAAGATCAAGATGATGCGCCCAAGTCTTTCGGCCGAATGGTGCATCGCTGTGTGGGGCCCCCCTGCCGAGGCAGTCTGAGGCCCGAATAGACAGAGAGCTGCGGTGGCACCTTATTGCGCTTCCTTGCACACGCTAGACGATATGAGCAACATTCTATCCGGTCCGGACATCCGAAGTGCAGTCGATTTCATGGCAGTTCGAGAGGTGCAGCTGATAAATTGGGCCCTGCATGTATGTGCCGAGTGTGCGTCTTTAGCGAGCTTGGACGAGCTCGCACTCCCCTGCTGGACAGCTGCCTGAGATCAACCTGAAGCGAAGAACCAAACATCGTCTCGGAGTCTCAACGTCGCTCAACTTTGGGCGCCTCCTAACCCGAGTTGTTCTCGGCTGAGCCAATGCCGACCCCCGACGACAAGGGATATGGAAAGAATGTTCGAGTTGACACAGATGTCATGTCCACAAACACGCACAAGTCTGTTACAGCAGTACCGCGGAGGTCGGAATGGCTGTGGTGATAGCACAGAAGGGTTTGTGGTCGCGGCAGGGGTAGGCGCCGTAGTAGTGGTGCTGGTGGTGGGTGGTAATGGTACAGGAGGAGGAGGAGGAGGAGGAGGAGGAAAGAGTCAATTCAGCCCAGGAGTCCTGC